TGATTGAAATGGCTGGTTCACGTGCGTTCTCAGTACCATCGAATACGTTGCGATAGATGGATCGAGATGTTACTGAAAGGAGCGCCTCAAACGCGACCAAAAGGAGGGAAAATATAATGCTTTGTTTATTTGACTACTACTTTGATATTCACTTCCCTTTCTCTGGATAAGATGGTCTTCGAAAAGCGCCAGATGCAATGCCTTCTGTATTTGACTAGCTGTATGGCTAGTAATCACTTTAGTATTCACCGTACCAGTGCCTGTGTGAGCAGGGGTTCGGATCACACAAAAGTCTAACTTCTCTCTTTTTTCTTTATATGAAAAATGGGAAGCCCTTTTTGAATGGATAAAAGTAAGCAGCCATCTTATATGTTTATAGCGAGAGAGATCTGGTGCAACCATGCGGACCAATCCCTCTGCAATATATTAACCATAAATTTTACCAGTCCTGGATTACTGGATCCGACCGCATATTCAAGGTTGGGCCACCCGCGAACTATCTCATTCCGAATGCAGCGATTTCCACCCATTCCCCAGCAGTACACTATAATGAGGCTCTACGCAGTCTCGCCCATGGTAGGCAACGAAGTCTATTTCTATACGTCGATAGAAGAGAAGTCATCGGAGAGAGACAGTCATTCCAAAAAATCACCTTAAATAGGTTTTTAGAGTCGAAGGGTAGCGTCTTTTAATGGATTTTTACTTGACATTTATATTAAACAGTTTGTTTTATTTGTTGTATCGTAGACGAGACTAGGTTTCTGTTGTTGTGCAAGAACTTAGACCTAAACACAAACATACCAGTAATGAATAAATACTATAATTTTTTACCAAGTCAACATTGTTAAAGTTTGTTAAATTACTCTGCTACCTTTATTTGTTTATCTGAACTCATTCTATGATTTAGGTCATGTGCTTGTGCTGGGAAGTTAAATGAGTGAGGGCTTGGTACGTGATTAAATTTGTCGGAATGTTCTGTAGCAAATTTCTGTGCTATTTGTCGTACCTCACACTTTTTTAGTAGAGAAATCTTACAGCACATAGGAGATTATA